ATTTTATTGTGGCATACATCCCTTCTACCTCCCCTTTATTGTGCCATACATTCCTTCTACCTCCCTTCTACCTCCCCTTTATTGTGTTATACATTCCTTCTACCTCTCCTTTATTGTGTCATACATTCCTTCTCCCTCCCCTTTATTGTGTTATACATCCCTTCTACCTCCCCTTTATTGTGTCATACATCCCTTCTGCCTCCCCTTTATTGCGTCATACATTCCTTCTACCTCCCCTTTATTGAGTCATACATTCCTTCTACCTCCCCTTTATTGCGTCATACATTCCTTCTACCTCCCCTTTATTGTGTTATACATCCCTTCTACCTCCCCTTTATTGTGTCATAATTCCTTCTACCTCCCCTTTATTGTGTCATAAATTCCTTCTACCTCCCCTTTATTGTGTCATAATTCCTTCTACCTCCCCTTTATTGTGTCATAAATTCCTTCTACCTCCCCTTTATTGTGTCATAAATTCCTTCTACCTCCCCTTTATTGTGTCATACATCCCTGCTACCTCCCCTTTATTGTGTCATACATTCCTCCTACCTCCCCTTTATTGTGTCATACATTCCTCCTACCTCCCCTTTATTGTGTCATACATTCCTTCTACATCCCCTTTATTGTGTCATACATTCCTGCTACCTCCCCTTTATTGCGTCATACATTCCTTCTACCTCCCCTTTACTGTGTTATACATCCCTTCTACCTCCCCTTTATTGTGTCATAAACTCCTTCTCCCTCCCCTTTATTGTGTCATACATCCCTTCTTCCTCCCCTTTATTGTGTCATACATTCCTGCTACCTCCCCTTTATTGCGTCATACATTCCTTCTACCTCCCCTTTATTGTGACATACATCCCTTCTACCTCCCCTTTATTGTGACATACATCCCTTCTACCTCCCCTTTATTGTGTCATAATTCCTTCTACCTCCCCTTTATTGTGTCATACATTCCTGCTACCTCCCCTTTATTGCGTCATACATTCCAGGCATAATAAGGTCAAGGTCATCCCTTCCCCCAAAAAGGGAAGTTTATACCGGTAAAACACCCCTACTCTCGATATCCAGGGGTTACGCTCACTTTTGCTCTCTACACCCTTGGAATATGTCATAGGAAAATTGAAGCCTCGGTGTGCGCCACCTTGTTAATGGAACAAGAAGACTATTTCAATCCTTTGATGTACAACAAAAGAATCTTGCGGTCACATAACAGTAAACATTGACAGGCTTTGAAGTCGGGCGTCTCTCCTTTGTAATCTTCAAAGAACAGGTATCAGCCTAACGATTGGTTAGGTGGGTTTTTTACCTGCGACCAATCAAACAGCTATCTTCGTGCCTTCAATTAAGTAGGAGTGTAATTATTAAGAATTTTATACATTAATACAAGTTTATGATTTTGTCTTTGTGTGTGTAATGTTTCAAGTTGTGTTTCAGTATACAAAATGTGATGAGATGTACCTCGTCTGAGGCCAGTGATAATAAGCGTTTGCTTCTAGTTGAACTGATTCTAAAATATCTGATTTAGATTTGGTACAATTATCCCATACTATATCAGAATTTTCTAACACGGGTCTTATATAAGAGACATATAATGTTTTAATGGATTCCTATCAACTGTAGTTTTTAAAATCCTAAGAAAACTTAGTTTTGATAAATATTTGAAATATGATCTGCCCATGTTCCTTTACTGTTAAATATTAGACCTACGTAAGTATGGTGTTCATGTTGTGCAATGGGAGTATTGTTAAACAAAAGTTGAGGATGATTGTTAATGTGTCTACGAGTGAAGTTAATAGCTACAGTTTTATTCGGATTGAATAGGATCTGCCATTGCTTTGACCATTCAGAGATTTATTCAAGATCATCATTAAGCATATCAGTAGTTGTTGCAAGGTCATTGTTATTATTTACTACAACATCGAGAGAGGTATAATCTGCAAAGAGTTTTATACGAGGGGTTACATTGTTAGTAATATCATTAATAAAAAGAAGAAAGAGGAAGGGACCAATGACAGATCCTTGAGGAACCCCTGTAGAAATAGGTTTGGTACTAGATTTATAACCTTCAAAGATATAGACCCTTTGTTTTCTGTCAGATAAATAAGCTTTAAACCAATCATATAATTTACCTTAAATACCATAAGTTTTTAGTTTATATAATAGGCTCAAATGCCATACACAATCAAATGCTTTACTTATGTCACAGAAAACAAAACGCAAATCTTTACCTTGGTCTAAATTAATTAATTAAATGTGTATTTTAAAAAAAAATCTATCATTTTGATAAAAAAATTTTTAGATGTAATGGCAATAGGTCTAGCTATAACTATTGAGATCACTGATATCTCCTTTACCTTTATAGAGAGCAGTAACATTAGCAGTTTTTAGTATATCGGGTATTTCTCCAATAGTTAATGTTCTTTTAAATAATAGTTTGAGTGGGTATACTAAAGATAAAGAAATATTCTTTACAATCATAGGTAAAATATCATCAGGACCAGCTGGTTCTTTTTTTGCCTTGCTTATTATGCCAATCTACTATTATCAGAACACAATTCTATAAACTATAAACATGGGAGTGAGACGATCTAAATGATTATTAGATGCACTATCCGTTGGTTTTTGTAAGTAGATGTATGTGGAAAAAAAATCATTGTAGCTTTTCTACCAATAATAAGGATTGACACATTGTATCAGGGGAAACAACTCTTAAAGTATAAACTTAATTGGGGGGGGGGGGGGGGGGGGGGAATGGCAGAAAAGCAACGGAATGGGCTATTGCTCAAATATATGGCCAGCATCAGCACACACCATGGCAATAAATATTAATAATTACTAAATTCACTCTGAAAGCAATAATTACTGTTTAATCTCAATTCAAAGTATTTTGCTTAAACGAAAAAGTTATTTCGATTGAATGAACATTTATTCTTTGTTAATTTAGAATTTTTCTTTAAGATTTCCAGATCGAAAATTTAAGGTAACATAATCTTAACTTAAACATGTAGTTGTGGAAAGTAAAAGTAGTGGAATAAAATCATCCAAAAATAGTCATGATATGATTTCAGAGTTAGTTCCCTTCGTAGTCATGTGATCAAATTTTTTACCCGGAAGTGGCTATCCTCCATTTCAGACAGCAATGAATCAACCGACGAAAGTCGTCTAAAACCGGGTTGTACCATTGATATTGATTAACGCTCTGTCCATTATAGCCCAGTTTCTTTGCAGACCGTAACCATACTTCATTCATGGCAACCTTACAGGTAAATGACGCCAAAATCTGTCACGAATTGTCAAATCGATGACACCAAAGTCATGAGACAAGTTGAATATTTTGACAGTTTACATGCCAAAAATACGGAAGTTCGGCGATTGTTTAAAAATCGACTGTTAATGATTTTCATGAACTCTTATCGTCTCTTTTTGTTTGAATACATCGAACCATTTAACCAATTATTCATTTGAATAGTGAACGCTGACATGTTCTAGATACCAATGTAAACAAATCCAAGTTATTTATATGGCTGATCACGAATCACGTGAAGAACCGTATTGCATAGCCGCCTTGCATAGCTAGGTGACTCATGGTGTGTAATTACCAAATATATTGGCATAGTCTTGGGTTTTGATCAATCAAAACAGAACGCTATTTTAACGGTCTGTGCACGGTCGTCATTTTGGACAAGATTGTTATGGAGGTATTTACATTACATTTCTTGTTTACTAAATATTGTTTATGGTCTAATAGCTATAAGTTGTATAGTAAGTTATTTGTGTGAAACAGTTTTTTTTAATCAACAAAATAATGTCCGAAGGGCAATTTAAAGGCAATGCTAAAATGTATGCAAGAATTCGAACTGTGACAAATACATTTTGATTTACATTCATACTGTTTTACTTTCAAACTGTTATAAAACTCTTACAGCACTTTTGCTATTACCTTTTAATAAGATTGGCATATTTTTTTATTTTTTTTAAATGGTAACCGTAAAGGTAAAGTGTTTTTTGATTTAATCCTTGTCGCCTACTTGCCAAATTCTTGTGATTCAGAATAAATTCAGATTCATGAAAAAAAAGGTCATCTGTGTTCAAAATGAAGGAAAATATAAAAATGCTTCAATGAATTATTTGTTATGAGTCTTCCCTCATAATTTATGTGTGAAACAACCATTTTTTTTATTATTAAAATATTGTCTAAAGATCATGACCAGACCTTCAAAAACAAGGCTCTATACAATTCTTTAAACCAGGGTATCAAGACTATTGAGCTTTGGCGAGAAATAAAGTTTGAGCGAGGATAAATATATCATTGACCTTATTTTCTGATGATAAAGAGCATTTCGTAACAAAATATTCACATTAAAATTTATTTTAGGAACAAAAAGGATTAAACCTTTCATATTTGGGTGATATTCATTCGATTATTATGTTATTCGTGTACATTTAAGATTTCCCAGACAACAAAACATGTACAGTTGGTGATCAACCTTCAATGAAATAGATTTGTATAAGTTTCAAAACTTGTTTCTGAATCCTTTTTCATTGTCAAATTGATCAAATACAGTACATGCAATACATTTGTATTTATATAAACATGAAATAAAATGAAGTTTATACTAATCTTTAATTTATTTTCATGGTTCCTTTTCAACTGTATTGCTGAAAACAAAGGGTCCTTAAATGTTAAATTTCAGTATTTCCAAAAATTCTACCAGTCCCATCAAAATTATGTATTGGACTCGGGACTTGTATGTAGATTTATCACCGACAGTGTAAGCCATATATTTTGAGTCAATCATAGAAGAAATTAAAAAAAAATAGAATATAAAATAATGTATTGTGCACAAACTATATGATTTGCACATTATGTGTAGTATACATAAACAAAATAAGTGAATTAACAAAAGAAAACAAAGCATACCTCTCTATATAAGCAAGCATAAATACAGTACATGAATGAAATATACCATCCGGACTGTGACTTGGAAAGAGGACCTATAGTCATTGTGTCTATCACATACGTATGCAACCCGATTATTCAGCACTATCAATACATCCGGTAATGGTAACCTTGTTGGTAAATGACGCCAAAGTCTGCCACAAAATTTCAAATCAATGACGCAAAAATCACAGGACAAATTTGAAATCACTGACGCAAAAATCACAGGACAAATTAAAAACCAATGATGCAAAAATCACAGGACAAATTTTAAATCAATGACGCAAAAATCACAGGACAAATGAAATATTTTGAATATACGCCAAAAGTTTGGGAGTTCTGTGATTGGTTGTAATTAATTGTGATGATATGGGTTTGTATGAACTGATTCTGATCAATCGGTGATATTTCATGTGTGTCTATTCTAGGCTTCAGTGTTGCTATATATAGATACCAATGTAAAAAAGACGTGTAGGTTATTTTTATACATGTCCAATCAAAATTGACGTTGCATGTGATTCATGGCCATGGTAATTTCCAAAAATAGTTCTGGCATATTCCAATAGTTTTGATGCAAGCAGATACAGTTCATCGTTTTAAACAGTAGCTGTGTATAGCCATCTTTGTCATGATCAGGTGGTCAGTCTGATGGGACAGAATGGTATTTGAGGTATTTTATATAATTTTTCCTCTTTTTTTCTCTGTAAAAATAACATCAGGGTTTAAATATTCAGTAGACCCTTGAGAGTTTGTTTTTGACTCCTCAAATCGTGCCTTGACTTTTGGGTTTGTGTATGTTGAATATTTTTATAGTGTTTTCTGCAGAATTAAAAAGGAGTAATTATTAAAGTGTTTTTGTGAGAGTTTGTGGGGGGTGGGGTGTATGGTATACACGATCCTTCACTCTAGAGAAAACACTGTTAACTCATTCACCCCTGAAGTTTCATAATGAACTATTCCAACCTTTGAATCGGAAGAGTTCATCAAGTGTGTCTTCAGGGGTGAATGAGTTAAATATGCAAATATATTTATTAACATTACTTTGTTTATTATTACAGAAAGCTATTGACATTGTTACCAAAGCCACAGAGGAAGATAAAAACAAGAATTATGAAGAAGCCTTAAAGTTATATGAACATGGAGTGGAGTATTTTCTCCATGCCATGAAATGTAAGTAATTTCAGGGTTAGAATTACTTATTTTAGCTAATAGCAAAACTGTACAGATGAGTGAGTATATCCGAACCGTTATTTGTTTTGCTCAGTTTTACTGCGGAATACAGGCTGTTCTCCTAGCTAAAAAGTTCCTTATTTTCCAAAAAGGCCAAAAAAAAACTATATTCTCAATTTCAATACAAATAATGCTATATTTTCCCCACTTCATAAAGGAACAGGCTGTTGTAAAATTTAGGTAAGAAAAACACCTCCAAATCAGGTTATGTTACAATTGTATTATATGCATAATTGATGTTTGTTTTTTTAACATTATAAATAGTTTTCATTTTTTTTTTTTTGAAATCCTAATTAAATTGCTGAGGTTGTTTCGGTACCTTAAAATTTCCCTACTTTAAACCATTTCAGTGCTTTTCAAAGGTCATTATGATATTTTAAAATATATTGTACATCTGATACTTGGACTGGGGTTTTGAATTTCACATGTCTCAAGAGCCTAAATTTTAAAGCCATCACATTTAGACTAGTATTGTGTATACAGTATAGCAGGAAATGGTAGTCGCAGTTTAATTTTTGCCCTCCCCTTCTTGGGTGAATTTATTATGACATTGAACACGACTCCACAACATGCAATATATAGTAATCAAGTGTGAATTAACCCTTTCACCCCTATGAAACGTTAGTAGAATCTACCATGCATTGATCTGGATGAGTCCATTATGGTCTACAGTGGTGAAAGGGTTAATTAAGGCTAAATTTACACTGGGTGGACATGAATTCTATTGGCAAAGGGCCAATATATAAACAGGGGAAAATTTTCCGGTAAACAATATGTATTTCATTAAGTATATATATATATCTGCACTCCAATTTTATACTGAATGGAAAGCAAGAAAATATCATTACATATTTTTTTTGTATTTCTGATTGTGTATTCTGTATGTGGCGTTAATCACTAATTCCAAAATCTGGAACCATTTCAGATGAAGCTCAAAGTGACAAGGCCAAAGAAAGCATCAGAGCTAAATGTATGCAGTATCTTGACCGTGCAGAGAAGTTAAAGAAATATGTTTATGGTAAAAAGAAAAACCCGGTCGCTGATGGAGGGGGTGGTACCCTGGGAGGAAAGTAAGTGTCAATTAATGTAACATGTATTTTTCCTGGACGTTTTATTCTGTGATGTTTTCCTATTTGCCTTCCTGTTATATGAATTATAATCAGCTAATGTGAAAACAGACATGCATGTCCTTTTTATTTTGAGGATAAGAAATGTTTCAGTTTACCTCCATATAGGGGTGTATATATGACTCACTAAACTGGCTTTTGGCTCTCAAAATATTGGGAGGTTTGCTATGCAAAGGGGTCAGAATTTGTTATTTATGCAATATTTTACTCCAAAACGCATGTCTTGCAAAACTACTGATAAGTTGATTATACTACCATGCAATGTCTTCCGATTTATAATAAACAATTGTTAATGTTTCTTATATTTTATTTTCCCAAGTTCAAAATTTAGTTTCTTATTCAAAACTTGATTAAGGTAGAAAATGACAGAAATGGTGAACTTTACTGCATAAGAAGCAGACTGATCATGAATATAATAAAAACAAAACGATTGACATGGTTAATTTAATATATTTAACAATTCTTTCTCAGAAACAACAAGAAAGGAAAATCAATTGATAGCGACTCGGATGATGAGAAGGCTGATCCAGAAAACAAAAAGTTCAATGACCAAATTTCAGGTATATGATAAAAATATTCCGTCAGTTTTTGTGAAGAAATGATATTAGCATAATTCATCTGTAGCGGTTGCATGCATCTGATATTCATTTAATTTAGAAATCTGAACTTCCTCAAAATACTGATTAAAATGTTTTCAATGATTAAAGAAATTGTTCGGGGGGAAACAGTGCAGCTGCCGCATGATTTTTTTTGATTTTTTTTTATGATTTTTTCTTAGAAATTCTAATTCAATAAATTCATTGTAATGATTTATGTCACATTAAATTCATAAAGTTGTTAATAGATGAATGATGTTTTTAGAAATTCCTGGAATTTTAAGTACAGAAAATATGTTATTATAAATTAATTCCGATTTCAATTGTAATAAAGACAGTCTGATTTAAGAATTCTGCGTAGTAGAAATCTTTGTCACTATTTAACCCATCATGGTTTTAATATTTTCAGGAGCAATTGTGATGGAAAAACCCAATGTGAACTGGGACGATGTCGCTGGACTTTATCAGGCTAAAGAGTCCTTAAAAGAGGCGGTCATTTTACCAGTAAAGTTTCCTCATCTTTTCACAGGTGACAATCTCCATAATGATCCCATTTGTTATTGAAGAATTATATGTCTTTCTGGTAAACTCTATTTTTTACTCTAAATTTAAGGTACTTTGCCATTTATTACATGGTTTTTGTCAGAAATTTAATTATGATTTAAAATGCATAATAAAACTGTATTTAGATACACTTAAATAACATATGTTATATAAGAAATAATCTAATTTAGTGAATTAAAATCATAACAAGTAAGTAATTCAAAGCACTCTAGTGAAAGTTATGCATGCATCATCAAAGTTTTTGAGATTTTATACAAACTCATTCACCCCAGAAATTTTCATAATGAGCTATTCCAACCTTTGAATTGGAAGGGTTCAAATGTGTCTTCAGGGGTGAATGAGTTAATATAGTATTAAATTTAATAATACTTTCATATAATAAAACTGGCATACTTCAGTGACATGCATATGATAGATTGGAGGAAATTATTTTAAAATAAGACTTTCTGTAAACTGGTACATGTAGTTGTATCTGCCATATCAGCTTTAGCTATCTATAAGTAGAACATATGATTCTATAAAAAAAACACTCAGTGTTGGGAATTACTTGAACATCTCCAATCAATCATCACTATTCTCGAATGATCGATGATTGATTGATAATTGATCATAGAATGAAATGACAATAAATAGTGAAGCATTCATCGAAATGGCTAAAATATGGCGGATGCTCTTCGACTACTCAAAGCTGTACGTAGAAATGATGTTTGAATGCAGTTTTAAGGTAAAACTCATTGTTAAAACTGCCTATTTATATAAATTTTTGTTTCACTGCCGTGAAGTAGCGGAAGCGAGACTAATGTGTTGCTTTTCCAGCAGCGGCGTCAACATTAAGTCCTTGCATTTAAGTTACTTTCACTGAAAGTATAAGTGCTAGACCAACCAAACTTGGACTATAGATGCATCTTAGGTAGTACATCTCAACCCATGCATCGAATGCTAGATGCAGCCTACCTTTCAAGGTCCATTTGACTTTGTCAGTATCTCCATTAATATTAAGATTTTGCATTTAAGTTAGGTTCTCTGAAACTATGAGTGCAAGACCAACCAAACTTGACATGTGCATTGATGGTCAAAGTGGGGCACAGGCCAGACATCTCAATCCGAATGGCTTATTAGATTGGCTCCTGGTCTGGATAACTCTTTATTATGTTGAATGTTTTTATTTTATAAACAAACCATGATTGATCATAGAAAATCATGATCAATTAGTCACAGTCAGAGGTAAAACGACCAATCATCGATTAGATTGATTATAAACCAGAACAACACTAAAAACATTTTCTTTGTTTTTGCAGGCAAACGTAAACCGTGGCGAGGAATTCTATTATTTGGGGTAAGTGTTCAGAAGTGGTATTGTGTTTTATTTATTAGGACTAGAAAGTTTCGAATTTAAAACCTTGTATAAATAGATAAAATTAATGTAACAAAAGAAACTTCTTGAGGTGACAGTAAATATATTTTCATTGGAAAATTATGTGTGATCTAGACAAATAAAAACAAATCTAGTGAATTAAGAAAGGTCGACACTAGCACTAGTCTCTTGAAAATTATGATTATGAAATAAGAATTTTCCTTTTTAAAATTTAAAAAACTTCACCATATTTTATGGCAGTAGTTATTTCAAGTCAACTATTTCAAAACAGTGGCAGATCCTTCCAAACTCATTTATTAAGTACAACCCCCCACACACACACTATTAAGTCAGTAAATGATGCTGAACTGGCTGCTTGGACAAGGAAAACATAGAAGATGCTTATACTTTAGGGGTTGGGTCAATTATTAGGTTAATTATGTTCAGTTGAATTTGCATGTTAATAACCCTTTCACTGCTGTAGACCATAATGGACTCATCAAGATCAATGCATGGAAGAGTTTACTTATGTTACATAGGGGTGAACGAGTTAAGTGTTATATTTGTCATGGTTCTGTATACTTGATGTGTTTTTGTTTAGCCTCCTGGTACCGGAAAGTCCTACTTGGCAAAGGCTGTGGCTACTGAGGCTGACAACTCGACGTTTTTCTCAGTATCATCTGCAGATTTGGTGTCCAAATGGCTTGGAGAGAGTGAGAAGTATGTTTTTGAATATATACTGTAAAAGCATAATATTTCGTTGGGGATTTAATTTCGTTTATTTCGTGGTTTTATAAAAACCACCAAATATTATCCCAACAAAATTTTAAGCACACAAAATATAAACTAAATTAAAAATATGAAATATACTATTAATTTAATAATTAACTATGTATTTACATTTAGACACAAGTCTTGATAAACAGTGTAATTATCGTCACCTTCACAGAGGTAAACACTTATAACAATAGCGTGTCAATCAAGCGTTATATTTGTGACACAGTTACATCGCTCTTTGTATGTATATTATAGAGCATGACAGATTCGACCGATACCCGTCAAGTGAGTTTATCTCATAGTAAAAAAAACTTTTTTTATATTCTTCTCTTTTCTGTAAATCATTTATCTGTACACCATATGAAATTATTCCCCCATGTTACACACATATACACAATACCGGTAGTTGCTGTTTTTTGAAATGGTGTATTTTGAACAAAAATTACACCATTTTACATGTAATAAGTACAGATCACAGTATCAATAAATACTATTGACCTTTTTTCAACTTTAGTGGAAAAAATTGATTAATGGGTGAGCCTGATCAATCTAGAAACCACATGATATCAAAGTTTTACTTTCTACTCAAACAATGTACGTATTAAACATGTCACAACGTTTCAAGACCGACTGGTCCCTTTGTCAAGCTATGACGGAGCTAGCAATTTGTAATTTCTTACCTGTTATACAAAATTGTATTAATATACAATTTCGTTACATCGTTGTACAGGTAAAAATAATACAAAATCGCTAGCTCAGTCATAGCTTGACAAAAGGACAGTCAGTCTTGAAACGTTGCGACATGTTTAATTAGTACATTGTTGGTGTAGAAAGTAAAACTTTGATATCCCATATTTTCAAACCGATGAATCTTATTGAAGATATTAGAAACCACATATTTGATTGTTTCATTATATATATGCAGCCAGTGTTTGAAGGGTGGATGTGCCTTTTCTATACAAATTTGTCCAAGTAATCCAGCCAATCAAAATACGATACACAATTCTCTGATTAGGTGTCTGATGTAATATTAATGCATGCTATCCCTTTGTTACAGATTGGTAAAAACACTCTTCCAACAAGCAAGGGAACACAAACCCAGCATCATATTTATTGATGAAGTGGATGCCCTCTGCTCATCCCGAGGGGAGGGTGAGTCAGAGTCAAGTCGACGTATCAAAACCGAGTTCTTGGTACAGATGCAGGGAGTGGGGAATGACAATGACGGGGTACTTGTGCTTGGCGCCACTAATATACCCTGGGTACTTGATTCGGCCATCAGGAGGAGGTAATTCTTTGATGAATTTAGAATATGCTTCCCTACTGTGACACATAAACTTTAATACAGGTGTATGTTACCTTACTGCCACCAGAGACTTAAGGATGTATGCTGCCTCGCTGTGAATGCCTAATTTAGGAGAGTTCCACAACTGCGCCATTCAATTTCCTGTAACATGTCCTCTGTTTGAAAATCATTTGGTTTAATAAATATGTTGATAACACATCGGAATTCAGCATAAGAGTACATGCATGAATTGAGAACGCTCAATCAAATATTAAGGGAGATAACTCTAACAGGTATAAGAGTATAGCATGGAATGTATCATATAGCTTTAAGCTCAGGCCCCTTTCGCTTATCCATTTCAACCAGATGAAATGGTTGAATTCGGAAAGAAGACGACAGACGCAGATCTGAATCGAGACTGACCCTCAGGAATATTCGGCCCATGTAGATTGAGGGGTCCAGACATGCCTGACCGAAACTAAAATGCTGACTATTGCTCATTTGCGTTATTTCTTGACAAAACAATGTCAAACCAGATGCATATTTTAAGATATATCATTTAGTGGACACGTGAAAGAAGGACATCATATTCTTGATATATTATTTATTCTCCGAAACTGCATTTTTTAAATGCCTACAGTTTGGTCTGGTAAAGTAAACAGGGAACTTGTCTTGAGTTATTGAAGTTGTTTTCATGAATTTAATCTATATAAATTACAAAAAACTGCTTGAAAGTATTTCAAGAATGAGGCAGGTTTTTTGTGTTCATCAAATTAAATCAATCTCGATTAGTTGTGAAATTCCCGTTTCCAAGTGTCAAAATTTGGATGGTTTTTTTTTTTCATAATGGAACAAATTGTATTCCATTACATCTATTTATTTGATTTTAAGATATGTATTTTTGTTGATTTCAGTAATTATCTTGAAAATTTAAATGTTTTGGCAATAAAATATATTGAAGCTAAAGGTATTTTTAATATGAACAATGAACAATATATTTAGAGACTGACTATGTTGACATCAAGGATAATTTGGTTTCAACCCTGAAAACACATTTAAATTGTTCACGTTCAAAGTTTGGAATAGTTCATTTTGAAACTTCAGGGGGTGAATGAGTTAATTTGCCTTTGGTACAGCGGGTTCCAAATAAACCAAAATATAACCACTTTGAAACTTGATGAGGTTAATTGTTCGTCACCAGGGAGCTTTGATGGATAGAAGTTTAAGATAGAATCACTGTTATAAATATTGAAAACTTGTTTCCCACAGATTTGAGAAGAGAATATACATCCCGTTACCAGAGGCTCCAGCTAGAATGGCCATGTTTAAGCTTCACTTAGGGGCCACCCCACACAACATACAAGAACATGAGTTCAAACAACTCGGCGAAAGATCAGATGGGTAGGTGTTGCTTAGCATATTTCAAGAAATTGACAGCATATTTACAAGAAGCTATTAAGAATTAAATATTCATGAAAGTTGTTTTGAATTTCCTTTTTTGGTTTGTAAATATTCGTTATGTTATTGTTTGGAATGTTAATGTTATGCAAAAACTGCTGAAGACATCAGGAAATTAATTAACCCTTTCACTGCTATGTAACTTTGGTAAACTCTACCATGCATTGATCTGGATATATAAGTCCATTATGGTCTACAGCAGTGAAAGGGTTAAAGAGTCTGGTGATATATAAAAATATACAATTTCGTCAAATCGTTGTGCAGGTAAACAATACAAATCGCTCACTCAGTCATAGTTTGACAAAGGGACCAGTCGGTCTTAAAGCGTTGCAACACGTTTAATACGCACATTGTATGTCTATAAAGTAAAACTTGTTGTTACACATTTTCATACTGACGAATCTTGTTGAAGATCTCACCAATAATATTTTTTGCAAAATTCTCTCTGGAGACGCTCTGGAAAAGCGATCGCAACATGTAATTTGCCAATACTGACATACATGTATATATCGTTTTTTTTGTCGATAGGTATTCAGGAGCAGATATAAGTATCGTTGTAAGAGACGCATTGATGCAGCCTGTGAGGAAAGTACAGACAGCCACACACTTCAGGAGAGTAAGTATTGTTGAATCTTTTTTCGGGGGGGGGGGGATTAAAAATAGGAGTGGAGTGGATGTATATATTGATTATGTAAATATTACTGTTGGATTTAGATTTGGTTTTGATACCTGTCTATGAAATAAAAAGTTGTTATTAAGATGAACAATTTTTGGCACATTGAATGGGTCGTTTCAAGTGCATTAGAACGAGATAAAATTGTTCGGGTCAGAGGTAAAAACTAGGGTTGGTGGGGTTACCTGAAACATACATATTTTTCTTTTGGCCTTAACATTATGACTAATGGAAAAAGGTTAGGGAATAAATGAAAATATAATGTGTTTTGTATATTTCCGATCATTGATTATTCCATACTTATAAATATCTATAATCTATATATATATTGTACATTGAAATTTATAAACGATGTCACCCAACATATTACGATATTTTGTTTTTATCAATATATTGTGAAACTCCTTTATAATGCCAAAATGTGTTAGGCCAAATGGTGGCAGTATAACAAGAATTAACTGTGTATGAGATTGAAGTTAATTTTATGAAGAAAGTGGATCCCAGATCAGAATCATTTATTGATCAAATTGAAAGGGAAAATAAAAAAAACATTACACTGTAACTAATTAAACAATATCTGTGTATGTCATGTTCTTTAGATTTGTTGACCCTCCAGAATTAAACTTGCTGTAAGTCATGTGGTGAACGTTTGTGTACGCCGTGTTCTTTAGGTACGTTGACCCTCCAGAATTAAACTTGCTGTAAGTCTTGTGTTGAACTTTTGTGTACGCCGTGTTCTTTAGGTATATGGCCCCCTCCAGAATTAAATTTGCTGTAAGTCATGTGTTGAACTTTTGTGTACGCTGTGTTCTTTAGGTACGTGGCCCCTCCAGAAGCGATCCCAACGTGATAGTTGATGACTTGTTGACCCCTTGCTCGCCGGGGGCTCCGGGCGCTTTCGAAATGTCCTGGATGGACGTACCCGGAGAAAAACTACTTGAACCTATAGTTAGTTTGGTGAGTAATTAAGCCGTCTTGAGTTATGGGACGTTTTACTGTGATTCATACTTTTCTTATTCAGAGTCCAATAAAACTTTGCATAAGTATTACATGGGTGTATTCCTAGATGTGCGAGACTCCAATTTTTTTGGCGGCTGCCCATCTAAGATGACCACTGTTGTCTCTGGTTGGTAGAAATGTGGCCAAGCATTCTCTTTGAAACAACAGGGTGGGTTCACATGAAACTTTATTTGAGTATTGAGAGGCACGCATTAATGTGCAAGAAACCTCTTTGTCCATAAGCACATCCTTAATGGATGCCACAGCCTCCGAGTTGTCAAAATTCAGATCAGATTCTTTCAAAGGACTTGGAGTTGTTATTGGTCAATTCTGACCTCACAAGGGATTAAGGGGCGTTAAGGGTCATTTCTGACCTCATCAGGGATTTAGCGGCGTTAAGGGTCATTTCTGACCACATCAGGAATTTAGAATTAGTTTTAATATTCGTAATCTGGAATAAAATGAGGTACGCAAATATGAAATTTCAAATCTATTTGACAATTGGCATAGGAGATATGGCATTTTAAAGAGAGACATAAACCCGTGAATATCATCTGTTTTGCACCATTTGGTTGAAAATTGGCTATTTTGAAGGAACTCGTATAAAAACACCTCAGTTTTTGAAACCTTCCGCATGCTACAAACAAATCGATATAATTCTGTTGCGCAGGTACCTCCATCAGTGTCAGTGATGGTATAACAATCTGAAGTCCTGGGTTTGAATCCCGGTCTAGCCCCGCAGAATATTTTACACTCGAATCACTGTTATTGATGTTATTTTGTTTATTTCATTTCATTACATTTTCATAAAAATCCTGCAAGGATAATTTTCATTTCAAAAATGATTTATATTTCATTTCTGCATGCTAGCTATCCAAGAACACCGTATTTTGGCTGTATCTGCATTGCAACGCAATTTTGTTGCCATGGTAGGGCATCTACGCATGCAAATTGGAAAAATCTTCACCAAGAATGATAGCCCCAATTAAGCAATATGATGTTTATACTGTATTAACAGAAATTAGTAAGTAAATTCAAATTGAAATGTTTACTTTTTATGAGGCCAAAAATTACCCATAATGCCCCAAGTCCTTGAAGGAGTGAGGAGTACTATGTTGTTACACTGTACAAACATTACACTGACCTTTGTTAGTATTATTTACAACTACGGGGTCTTTTTGGGGACAACAACAGGGTCTTTTGGGGACAACTACGGGGTCTTTTTGGGGACAACTACAGGGTCTTTTTGGGGACAACTACAGGGTCTTTTTGGGGACAGCTACAGGGTCTTTTTGGGGACAACTACAGGGTCTTTTTGGGGACAACAACAGGGTCTTTTTGGGGACAACTACAGGGTCTTTTTGGGGACAACTTCAGGGTCTTTTTGGGCATAACTAGGGGTCTTTTTGGGGACAACTACAAGGTCTTTTTGGGGACCACCTGAACGTTCAGACCACTGTTTCAAACAGCACTTGTTACACATGTGTTGTATACTCAGCCAAATTGAAAATGCAGAGCCCGTGCCAATATTGATAAAATGTGTGTTTGCTTTACCCCTATCTCGGATTTTCATTTTCAGACAAGTAGCAATTACAGAAAATAATTTATTCCGTTTTATTTTTAATTTTTGCTGGTTTTTGATAAATGCTTTTAAAATTTGTTGTGATAAATTGCTTGCTTTTTTATGGGGGATTATGCAGAAAAATGAAACAATATTAAATATTGAAGGCTACCTCCTTTCAAGAATTAAAAAAAAAGCATTTTCCCCTTGTTGTTTGTTTCAGAGTGATATGCTTATGTCTTTGGCAACCTCAAAGCCGACTGTCAATGAGGAGGATTTGAAACGCCTACAGACGTTTACAGAGGATTTCGGACAAGAAGGATGATGCTTCCTCACTTATATCTGTTGTGATCAGTGCTGTGTTACGACGTGTTACGACTGTAACGGTCATGCATGAGTTCATTTGTGCAAAAAAAAATATTCATTTGCCCACAAACGAGTGCATACGTGCGTCCTTGCATCTGTGAAATGATGTGACGTGGGATTAAACTTTTTAAAAACTCTTTCGTCATTTCAAAAGAAAGTTGTTGTTGATATATTGTTAGGTCATTCTTGATACGAATTATGAAGATGACATTGTTTCATACTTAACAATCGTAGCCATATCACTAGATATGATTGCTGCAAAATTATCATTATTTTTTTGTGCACGAAAGAGCTGATTTCGACTATAGTCCTTTCATAGCTGACAATGTGATAGACTAGATAACATATATATAAATCAGCTTTACATGTGACTTCGGGACAATGAAATGGATTCAAGTTAACTGTTTATCTGTGAGACTTCATAGCTTCTGAAGAATTTGCCTCCCTCGTTTTGCCTCGAAAAATTTGTTAGCGAATCGTCCATGTTACAAAGGCCACTGATTTCACAACGGCCAAAATATTTAGATCAGGGCAACCCTGAACTCATTTTTGTCCTCTCCTTTTATTTTGACCAAGTTTTGATAAGCACTGTCAAAGTCTGTATTCTTGCTTTTTATAAAAAAAACACATTGAACGTTCAACAGAAAATGGCTCAACATTGAACGTACAATTATAGATGGTGGACACCAAAAGAAAGAACTATTGGGATGAGTGGTACAAGATTAAAAAATAATTTCTGGAACGGATCTCCAACATCTTGATATAACAAGGGTTTTCTTCTTGGACTTGTATATTCCCTGAGGGAAGGTATTGCTTAAAGATCCCTGTCCCACTGCACTGTTGTTTTCCCTATATACAGTTACCTCCCCTTAACCTCCGTTTGGATATTACTGTAGCACAATTGGGCCTGTATCATTCTCTTCACCATTGTCAGTGATGGTATAACAATCTGAAGTCCTGGGTTCGAATCCAGGTCTAGCCCCACAGAATATTTTACACTCGAAACACTGTTGTTGATGTTATTTTGTTTATTTCATTTCGTTACGTTTTCATAAAAGTCCTGTAAGGATAATTTTCATTTCAAAAATGATTTACAAGAATTCGAACTATAGACATGTTTGTAAAAAAAGTTTTGAATGCATGGTTTCAATTTTTTGGCAGCAGTACTGGGATTTCTTAAATTTGGAAAAACAATGTTTGAAAAATGTACTTGAAACTAGCCGGCTGTGAGGAAATGAGTTTTTTTTTCTCTTTTCTTTCTTGCAAATTAGATTACAGAAAAATTACATGAATGGATAATTGGTTTAAATAAACATGAGTGTTTTTTTAGTAAGAATTCCTGTTGTCATTTGTTAAGGAGATATAATGATACCTGTGAAATGTGCTTCTTTCAAAAGAGTTCCCTTCAAAGAAATTTGTAGAATTTAAGGTAGGAACAAATACAACTGTTGGTTTTCATAATAATGTCAATTTATAGGTTATTATATAGTAGTAAGAGCAACCCCATCCTCTGACAATTTCAGTAACTAATGACTTTTCCGGTTCTACGCGCATTCCCTCACACAACTGTGAGCTAGTGTGGTGTACAAATTTCAACTCCTTGCATACAAATGAAGGCTGTACATACACCATAGTCTGCTTAGACAAAAAACTTGATCTGAGTCTAACTTTGCATAACTGAATTGTATAACTTCCGTATGTCTTCTCTATATTATTTTCCTAGATATACATATCATTGTTTACAGCTATATATAGACTTGCCGAGAATGGTACTGGTTGGCACGGAAAAACAGAAGAGCTAAATTTTCAGCACTACCAAGACAAAAAACTTGATCTGAGCCCAACTTTGCCTTGCTGAGTTGTATAACTTCCCTGTATCTTCCCTATATCATTTCACTGGATGCATGTATAATTGTATACAGCTGTATATGGACTTGCCAAGAACTATACTAGTTGGTACGGAGAAAAAAACATGAGCTTAATCTTCAGCAGTCGAAGGTATTACCAGTTGCAATTAGCTTTGGTTTTATTCCAACTCATGAGCTCAAACTGAGAGAAAACGTTATAAAACCGTTATCCACCCCACCCAAGTTTTATCATTCGACTCAAGCTCAAGTTTTCTCAAATTTGAGACATCCAAGGGTTGTTTTTTCTCAACTCTATCAGTAATTGTGTAATGGAAACTAGATTTGATGCATGTGAAACTTCTTGAGGATTTCTTACCTGAGAACACCTGTTTGTACGATTGGTGTTGGTATGGTATGTTTTCTTGTCTATATTGATGAGTATGTGCACATTTTGGTACTTGAGTACATAGAGGCTATTCAATGAGTGGTAATTATTAGGATCAAGTTATCCATTTGAGCAAGCAAGCAAGCAAGCAAGCTATCTCATATGTAACTTACAAGCTTCAGGAAGAATGAATTCGAAGTCATAAATCAATTGGTTATATTTTGTTTCTCCCATGACAAGAAAGTGAATTTTTAAGATTGTATGACATGTTATATAAAGTCATTTTACAGTGTGAAATTTACCAGTAAGATATACCAATGTCTGGAAGTTAAAACGTTTTTAACTGTAAGGGGAGACAAATCTGTACAATATTCTTCTCCAGGAAACTAACATAGAAAATAAAATCACTAATGAAAAGAAATACTATAACGGTAAAAACATCAATATAAGTTCATTGGTTCATTTAAATTTACTATTTATGACATTCTACTTATAACAAAATGAATTAAACTATGTGTACCATTGTTTATGTTATTTTACATTTTATGCAGAGTTATGTCCCCTTCCACAATAATTGATTCTTCCATGTCTGCACCGTGTAGACAATAATGGACTTATCCAGATCAATGCATGGCAGAGTTTATTTAAGTTACATAGGGGTGAAAGGGCTCAATAAAGATAATGGTTATATTGATGCATGTTCAGTTGATACTTTATGATTTGTTCTATACTAGATATGGTATTTTTAAGTTGATACAAGATGCACAGAGCCGGATAATTCCACCAATTTAATATTTACATTAGCATATATACTGATTCATTAGAAAACAGAATTTAAATCTCCACTTCATTGAAACATTCTATACCCAGTTACTATAGATTTATAAATAATCCAATCTTACTTTAAACAGTTTATTTTTAAAAAAAAACACTAGAAATGACATGCTCAGTATTACAAATTACTAACATGTCTCCATTTTTATTGTTATTTCTATTTAATTGATGGGAGGAGCATGGAAAGTACACGACTGGAACAATATTTGTATCACTAAAGCATTATGATTAATTTATATCAATAATGCAGAAATCACATGTATGTGTGTTACTAGTTAAAAGTTTGAACTTTGATTTTCATTTACCGGTAAGGACAACATCATATTTAGTACGAGTGTCCTTGGAGCTTAATGTGAGTTAAAAATGTGTTTTAAAAAGACATGTGTATCATAGAAAATCATCAATTTTCATTAATAGAATACTAATACATGTAAAGTTATATGCGATTTCGGAATGATTTTATTTGGGTTCATCATTTTTTCATCAATGTGTATGATATTGTAAATTAGTGTGTTTAATAATAGTACACAATTCTGTAAATTGTATTTAAAAACTTTATGTAAATATTAAAATCCATCCAACAGTTCAAAACGAATTTGTCAATATCTGTAATATAATCTTCTTTGCCTTGTTATCACTCTCCTTTTTCCATGCAATTATCAAAATGTTTTCTGTGGTCACATTAGGTTATTTACGGTAACTTTTAGGTTATATACTCAAGAATTAAGGTCGTGCACGACTAACTGTTATTTTGGGTGGACGAAAGGCAATATCATAGGAAGCTAGTATTTGTATAGATATATGTAGCATATGGTGGACCATATGGGAAATTACTTTGAACATGGACAAATGTTACATTTTTTCTTGGAAAAATATCCAGGGCACCTATTCATGGAACCGTTTTCCCGCTCAAGCATGGATTTTGTGCTTAAGCCTAATTTCTTGTTCCGTTTATAAATTAATAATAAAATCCAATTTTGTTATTAATTTTGAGAAAATAAAATATGAAAATACTTCAAGCCAAATACTGCTTTCAATGTTTACATTTGACTGTTTGATCAGTTGACTAGCCCGAGTTTCCTCTGTCCCTAACACCAGACTTAGGCAATTGACGCCAAATTTGGTTGGTTATTATCAAATCGATGGCACAAAAGTCAGTTTTGATTATTTTCATGCCAAAAATATTGAAGTTCGGTGATTTCATATCATTGATCTATTTACAAGGCTCAATGGGCGAGATACCCATGTTAACAAATCCACGAAAACTGTTGAAAAATATTGACATTTTTATTTCATAGTGGTTCATTCCGGCCAACAATTTCACTTCTAATTTTAAATACTGCTGGGCATAACTTATTCCATTTCATCAAATAATGTACTGTGTTATCCAGTGAATATACCAACCCATGTAATATGACCTATCAGCCCTGTGATTGGTTGTAATTTTCAATTGTTTCAATTGTGACGTCACGCTAGGATAACAGACTTACGCACTGGAGTCAAAATGGCGGCCTTTCACATTTCAATGTAACATGAAAATTGTCGTTTTACACGAATAAATGCCACAAATCTTGATTATATGATAAAAAAAGATCTTACACGAGTTTCCATTTTATATGAAATTAATCACCAGAGGCTCGCTAAATTGAAAAATTCTAAAGACTCGTTTCATAAATTCCAAATGAAATGGAAACTCGTGTAAGATTCTATTTGTAACGTATATCAAATTATCTTTCCTTTGCTGGTCTCTGAATAAAAATCCAAAGTGTATTAAGGGACTTGAATAAGTACAAAACCTCACCAAAAATCTCCTCACGCCTGAGTGCATTCCGGGTTTTGTCCATGTGATTCATAGTCATTTCCAAAAATAGCACTGGCATTCCCAATGTTTTGATCCGCGTAAGGTTGTCGTAATATATAACGGGACATAGTATTATGGAGGTTTCGCATTCTACACTTGAGGTTGGTAAATATAGATTATACACATACTAGTCATCAACACATCACACATAACTGTTTCTTTTGTTGAGCTACAAGCCTACAATGTATATAATCACAGGTACGTACTACCAGAGACGTATAATACAGAGATTGGCAACTTGCTCTTGGACTTACCATTGCTAACTGGTATCGAGAGTTACGCTTCACCTGCGCCATATTGGATATGCGGTTCGCTGCATTCAACTCAAATCATAATTATGCCATGAGAAAACATCGCAAATCAACGTAACATTAAAACCGTACGTAGCTACAAAATGTAGCTGAGATTTCCATGCGGTTTGGGAGTGCTACATTGAATGTAAACTTGAATGATTAAGTTTAGAAAACCCCAAACATCGAAAGATTGCACATCGTGGCTGTGTTTACATATCGGTAATTATTCTGGCTTCAGGATAACACTATCTCCGTTTTTGTTCTTTAGACAATTTCAAAAAAGTTTTCAGAAATTAATTATATGATAATATTTCTAACCAGGAAATTTAAATGAGGTTGTTACAATA